TGTTTTCTAGATGCATCTATCCTACAGTAATCTTTTGGGCCATCATTTTGCAACAAAGAAAGAGCAGAAGAGAAACAGAAAAAAATAAGTTTGAATCCCAACACTTTTATAAAATAGAAATATACTTGCAACAATAACAAGATCCAAGCCCTCCAGAGTAGATCAATATTTTCACCCTTATATTTTCCACCCCTTATATTTGAACCTGTCAGAACTCAAAGTTAACAAAAAGATGCAAACAAAATCGAAGAATATGTATGTCCATCAATAATCCTACCGTGGCCATAAGAGGGAGAAGAGATGTAGCATAATAAGAAAGTGCATCTTATTTGGGGCTTTCCATCGAAAACATGCGGTGCCTTGCCTTGTTCTTCAAAAGAAAACAGTTACAACAACAAACAAGAACTTCACAGAATAGATTAAATACACATTATTTACATTTGGGTAGTGTCTACAATTTTTTAAGAGAGAACATAATGGTGACTGGAAAACATTAAGAAAAGAGAGAGAAAGAAGGTGATCGAAAGATTATCTGAAATCGTACTTGGAGGGCTATAAGTGGAATAGAGAAGGAGAAGGGTGGTGGTATTCCCTAACAGGCAACCTTCACCACCACACACCATTCATAGTTAGGGAACAGGGGGCTCTTGGAACTCTAAGCTAGGGTTATTCATGGAGATTATAGTGAGAGAGATGAATGAGTTTGCGATGATCTCCGATTAATGAATATGAAGATTATGGTGACTAGGGTTTCTCACTGCATCGATCGTCGAGGAGGGTATCCAGGTGGCTGAAGATGGAGTAGGGTATGAGTATATGCTTGCGATGGTCTCCAATTAAGGGAGAGAAGGAGGAGAATGATGACAGTTGAGTGTCTGGTGATGGCGGTGTAATAGTGGTGTGACGTTGGTGCTGTGATACAGAGCTGATGACGACAGTGGTATTAGGTGTGAGGTGGTGTTGGTCACCGGTTATGGAGAAATAGGAGAGTGGTGATGGAGGTAGGCGTAGATGGTGAATGGAGAAGAGCGTATATATTATATAAATGGCCAGAGGTATATGATTATAAGGATGAAGAAAGGGCGAAATAGTGGGGAGGTTGTTGGACGAGATAGGAAATGAGATCTGGTCAAAAGCCATGTGTATCTTGACCAAATAAGATTCGATGCATAAATTTATTGTATATATTGCATAAGGGCTTGTACGACTTAAAATTCAGCATTTAACTAAATATACTTTATAAGGTGTTAAGATATATATATATATATATATATATATATATATATATATATATATATATAGAGAGAGAGAGAGAGAGAGAGAAATAAATAAATAGAAAGATTTTATTGATGACTATCAAATTAAAATTTTGCTTGCTTAACTTACTTTAATTAGGTTACACAAATTCAATTATCTATTTTAGAGATGTCAAAAAGTCTCGTGGGAACCCAAACTCGTGGGGCCCCGATCCCATATGAGGGATATTTGTTAAAAAAACCAGGGGTGGGGGCAAGGTTACCGCTCGTTTTAATTTCGGGAGCAGGGACGGGGGTAGGTAGTCCCGTCCTAAACCCCCCCATGGGGGCCCCGTTAATATTATATATATATATATATATATATATATATATATTATATATATATATTATATTAGTTATATAAATATAATAAACAATAACAATGATTTTGTGCTTTCAAAAGTCAGCAAAAAAACATGTTTTTAAGTTGTTAGTATAACGTTTTCGAGATGTGATAACATTTTTGTTTTTAACATGTAAAATTATGTTATACACAACTATTTTAACTAAAAAAAGCTTCTTTAAACTCAAAAAACTTCTTTTAGTCCAATAAAAAATCCCGCAATCAATTGGGGGCGGGGTAATCCATGAATTCGCGGGCAGGGGCTAGGGTGGCGAGGCTGGAAATTTCGGGGGCGGGGCGAAGGCGGGGCGGGGTAATGAAGAAATTTTAGGGATGTGGGTGGGAGATGCAATCTCCGTCTTATTTACCTCCGTTGACATCCCTAAGCTATTTATATGAGCAAACTAACGTAAATTAGGCCAATAAGTTAAAGCCTAGAAACTTTAACAAATCTGTCACATGACACATTTAAAGGACGAATACGATATAAGAATTTGCCTGAAAAAATTTCTTCTAAGGCCCTTGGCCCCCACAAGGGGCGGCTCCCCTTGGCCTCCGCCCGCTCTTTCGGGTCTGCCTAACGGCTATGAGGTCAAATGAGAATATAACTTCACAACTCAACAATAGTCTCAAACAAACGAAAGAGAGAGAAAACACGAGAGGTGTTACCCAAACGAGAGAGAGAGAGAGAGAGAGAGAGAGAGAGAGAGAGAAAACACGAGAGGTGTTACCCAAACGAAAAGTTAAGGACGACATTTTGTTGTTTGATGATAGAAAATTTAACTCACACTATATTTTTTAACTAAAAATGAATATAAAAAGTATTTTAAAATAATATTTTAGAGACATAAAGATAAAATTCAGTCAACAAAGTTTAGGATAGGTAAAACTTCTAGTGACATATGTCTCTCGCCTTAGACCGGAGGGTATGGGAGGGAAGCTTCCCTCACTTTTTGTGGGCTATAGCCCTCTTTCCCTCACTCTTTCCTTTCCCTCACCTAAAACCCAAGAAATGGGTGGGAAGGGTTCCCTCACTTTTTTTTTTAAATAATTTTTTTTATGATTTATAATTTTTAAATTAATACTAAACATAAAATTTAATTAAAAATAAAAGCATTTCATTAATTAAAATAAAAATTACATTAAACCTAAAATTTAAAAAACTAGAAAAAAAAACACAAACTAAAAATCAAACAAACCAACAACGACCTACGAAAAATATTTTTTCAAAATTTTTTCCCTCTTCTTCATCACGAACTCGAGAGTCGGTCCCGAGAGATGATCGGTGTTTTCCATCAAAAACTTCATATCCTCCATTTCTTGTCTCTCCGCCCGCTCATTTTTCCTTGCTTCTTCTTTTTCTTTGTCGAAAGCCAAACGCTCGGAGAAATTAAGATTATATCGATCAAACGACGATGTTATTGTCCGCATTTCGTCAATGTCCACGCTGAAATCAGATGCACCCGAAGAAGTCCTTTTTCCCTTTCTCTTCGCTTTGTCTCTACCCATTGGGCGGACAATTTCTTCTAGCTCGAGTTCGTCATCCTGATTTAAATCTAGACCGACCCGAGCATCGGAGGAGGTTGTGTAACCACTAGAGCCCGTTTTCGTTCGCTTTGATTGTTGGACTTCAAAAATAAAATCTTACTCGTATTTTTTCCACCTAGGACATCAGACCAATAATTTCCAACAATCGTGCCACTTGAATGGTTTTCCGACTTCCTCAAGGTAAAACTGCAAAGCTTCTTGAAGTATTTGTCCGTCGCCTTGGCCACTTTTTCATTGGGTTTTTAGGTTGTTGTACAACCCGTTTATTTTTGAAACCCCTTTTGCTATTTCTCGAAACTTCGAATTCAGTTGATGTTTCGTACGGTAGTCGTCACCTTTTTCTAGCTCCTCTCGAAACCGTTCTAAAATGCGAAACCAAAAATGGTCTCTGGTTGTGCGTTTCCTTGAATCGAATCCTCAGAAATGTCACCCCAAGCTTTGACCAAAATTAGCTCTTCGTGTGGAAGCCATGCTGTCGACTTTTGTCTTCCCGGTTGTGCGACACCCTCGCGCGCTTGTTTTTTCCCATTACGTCTTTGTGGGGGTGGTGGGTGGTGTGGGTTGCGGTTTCGGGACCATCTCTTCTTCTTCCGAGTCATCCAACTCATCGACAAGTTGGCGTTGTTGTTGGGTTTGGGTTTGAGTTTGAGTTTGGGTTTGGGGTTGAGGTTGATTTGGCGATTGTTGATCCGGAAAAACAACAAAGTTTGAAAACATTTGCGACGTAACATTTGGAACTTGGATCGGGTAATATTGCCCAACATTTTGGTATTGAAATTGTAGTGAGGATTGAATGAGAGCATCGAGTTGTGGGCGATAAACTCCTTGTGGTGATGAATCTATAACAAAAATGTTTCGAGTAGGGATGTTTAAACTCGAACCATGACTTTTTTTCCTTCGATCGGAAGTTGGGGTTTGATTGTCAGGATTCATTTTTTTTTAGAAGAAAATAGAGAGAATAGAGGGTTTGTTTGAATGTTGATTGAAGGTAAATAGTTGGGTATTTATAGGTGTTTAAAAAGGTAAAACAAAAACAAAAACAAAAAAACAAAAAAAATTGAGTTTAAATGCATATATCCGTTGGAAAAAAAAAACAAAACAATTTTTTTTTTACCGTTAATCAACGGCTATTACACAAAAAAAAATTGCTCAGCCAGTGATAGAGGGAGAGAGAACGTGGGGTATCGTCCCCTCCCCCATTCCCGCACCTCCGCCTCCCTCAGTGACGGTCCGGTGTTCCGTCGTGCGGGAAGGCTCCCGCACCTCTTCCCCGCTATGATACCGTCCGGCCTTATAGTGAAAATTTTCAAATTTTGTTAAAAAAACTTTCACCAATGATACTCGTTCACACAAAGGTCTTTTACAACAGCTACAACATGTGGTGACTAAAGCGGCAGTTTCTTGTAGTGTAGCCATCTTACAAGAAAGCATGTTAGAACCATGCAAACAAAAAAAGACATAGGGAAGAAAGTCCTTATCAATTTTCTATGTACAATTTTTTTGTCATTGATTTCATAAGCTAGAAAAAGCATGTTTTTTTTGACAAAGAAAGAAAAAAGACTACAAGATGGACACCATCTTTGTGCTCCTCTAAGTATATGACGAACTAAAAAAATAAGCAGGCCTACTATAGTCTGAAACAAAGAAATAATACATAAAAACTTTTCTAATACCAATATCTTACTCCAAAACTCATCCTGAATCGATCAGAGGTCTAAACCAAAGGGCCAGAAACGGGGTTCATCATTGAGGATGTGGAGTACATGAAAGAAGATTCTGGCAAAGTCATGCAACCACTCCCATTGACAATAGGGTCATTTGAAAATGGAGTCAAGGTTAGCCTCAAAGCCATAATCATAAAGCAAGTCCATTCGTTCACTAGACTCATCAAATGGAAGATGAGATATATGTTCTGGATCCATAAAATGTCTCCAAGGATGGTCTTCATCAACTGAAGATGCAAAATGTGTTTCAGGAAACATCTCCTCTTTAACTTCATGAGCAACTTCTTCCTCGTTTTGTTGTTGTTCTTGTTGTTCAGATCTTATGCCATCATCATGATTGTTCTCATTCAGTTCAGCATTTGATGGAGCTTGTTCAGTTTGTGGGGAATCATCGAAGTAGTTAGTATAATTGCTAATATCAAAGTTGGTTACAGCATTTTCTCCTCGATACATTATGGCTGCTTTGTCATATGCTCTGGCTGCATCCTCTTGGGTGCCTGTAAACATCAAACATGAATAGCGGTCAAAGCCAAGTACGAACTGGATGTTACAAAGATTACATGATCTATTTGGAAATGACATGAGCAATAAGATTAAATCGTACTTCATTCTTTGACCCTTGGGTCAAACAAACTAATTTCAATT